ATATTCATGCTTTCTTTCTCCATGATTAAACCAACTCAGTGTACTGGTTGTTCCCTTTTGTATTCTGTCCACATTCAGATTATATGTAGTGCCAATCTAGATCATTACTCTAGATCCATGATGGCAAACCTATGGCACGCGTGCCACAGGTGGCATAAGGAGCCATTTGTCAGGGTACGTGAGGCGTTGCCCTGTAAGCTCCAGCTAGCATGCGTGTGCTGGCCAGCTGACTTCGACCTTCTTTTGAGGCCATTTTTTGCCCTCCAGAGACTGTCCTGAAGCACGAAAAACCAACCCTACGGCCAAAACAGAAGTTTGAGAACGGACTTCTGGTTTGGACGTAGTACCATTTTTTGCCTTCTGGAGCCTTCAGGAGGCTGCCCTGGCCCTATGAGCAAACAGGAAGTGACTTCCAGTCTGGCCGTAGGGGTGTTTCTCGCCATCCGGAGCCTTCGGGGAAGCCTCCTGGAGGCTCCAGAGGGCGAAAAATGGCCCTATGAGCAAACCGAAAATCGGCTCCCAAACTTCTGGTTTGTCTGTAGGGCCAGTTTTTCGTGCTCCGGAGGCTTTAGGGAAGCTCCTGAAGCCTCTGGATGGCCTCCGGGGGGTGGGGGGCTATTTTTGCCCTCCCCACGCTCCTAGAAAGCCTTTGGAGCCTAGGGAGGGCGAAAAAGTGTACCAAAAGCGGGGGGAGTGCTGGTTGCACACGCATTTACGCAGAGGGTGGAAGCATGCGCATGTGTGGCACACCTATGCACGACTTTCCTGTGCTCCCCCTGCTTTTGGCACGGAAACCATAAAAGGTTTGCATCACTGCTCTAGAAAATGAACAATAATCAGTGCTCAGTCACCATTAAACAGTGTAATTTACTAGACTGTTACACTTTTCTACATGTCCATGTAAGAAATATTATGTGTACTCATAAAAGGAACATGGTTATGTACCGCATTTTGTATTTTAACTATGTATTAGATAAAGTCATATACAATCTATGCATTTTAAGACATAATAGGTTTGTCTGTGTGGAATGTATAATATGGTCCAATATCCAGTTAAAAGGCAATAAAATCAAGAAGTTAATTTTTCTTAAACTATCCTTTGTACATAAGTTTAAAACACATGTCCAGGCTAAATGTAGCATATTCTTCACAATTAAAAAAAGAAAAAGTCCTCATAGTATCACAGCCACAGCTTCTTTCTTTCTAATATGTAGGGAAGGGATATATTTCATATATCCAATAATTCTTCTGTTCAACTCTGTAGAGAATGCAACTTTCTATTAGTATGCTACAAAATAGATCTCTGTACTAAGAACATGGTCCAATACCGATTCTGTGGTGCAGATACTACAGTTATGGAATTCCATGGTCATACGGAGGAAGGCATTTTCCACCTTTATATCTTTCCTATATATAAATAGATATTACTGGATGCAAACCAATACCAGTGTGATAGCATAAATTTTGTCATATTACTGTGTAAGGATTGTTAGCACGTTTCATAACAAAATCTGAATCAACAGTTGAATTTTGCTGATAGAACTTTTTCATCAGCAGAAGTGAAAGGAACAGTTTCTTCTTTCCCTTAAATATATGTCAATTACTAATTTATTTTATTACGCTTGTAGTTTGCTTCAGTTTCAAAGTATTCTAAATCACACTAAACATCTGCTATAGGGGATTAATGTGTCGTTTGGAATAGATTGAGCAATGAATGGATAGCACAATTTCATATAGGCTGGCTCAAAGTAAGACATAATCATGCAAATGGTACTCACTTTTAAGTTATGAGCTGTAGAACTAAAATATTAATTTGCATCCAACTTGTAGTTCTAAGCAAAGTAGTCATATTCAAAAGTTCAGAACTAAATACAATAATTTTAATACATTTCAAGGAATGTTCAAAGTTTCTTGCCTTTTCTTTCCTTTACACCTTTTTGCAGTGCAAAACAATTACAAGTTTTATGAGATAAAAATACCGCAATTGTTTCCAACCCTAGACCACAACCAATTTTATTTAAAAATATGACAGACTTATAGTAAATAAATACCAAAAGGGACAGAAGAGTGTGCTTGTTCCAAATTACATCTGTATATTGCTACTATCCCTGCTTTTTACAAACAGCTGTTTCACGTTGCAGTAAAGTTAGAACTTCATATTTTGAACCCGTACCAATTCAACCAAATTCTCAGGAAAAAGAGTGTCTTTTAAATGTATCTTTTATGAATCACAGATACTCATTCCTTGGACAGTTAAAGCTTTGCACATAGATATTTTTAACACATCACTATCTGGAAGAAATATTATTTCTTTTTCATGTTATTTAAAATGACTAAAGTTCATACTAGAGCAAATGAAGAAACTGGTGCTTTAATACTAGAAAGATATGAACTAATCATTTTTCTCTTTCTTAAATCGGATTTTACAAGTATTCTTTGAAAACAAGAAACACCAACTTATATCCAGATAATCATTCCATAAATACTATGGGTTTTCATAGCAGTCATGAGGTCTGGAATGTATGTGCTAATTACAGATCCCAATCATCTTTACCCAGTTTGCAATTAAAACTGAAATATTGTCATATAATACAATTCTAGGGTTCATTACAATATCTACCAGGCATGCTGGTTGTTATTTGCATACCATAGTCGATTTTGTTTCAAAATAATTGTTTCACTTTTGGTTTTCTTATGCTTGCTGTTTTTACAGCTGGGAGTAGTTAAGATTTCTTAGTAGTATAATTAAAGAAAAAGTCCAGGAACCAAATATTTTTACATGGATACTCACATGTGCTAGACATCAGCAGAAAGCAGTGATAATTAGAAGATACATACTGTAGGTTATGAAAAATCACATGATATTGTCTCCTTACTATCACAGGATGTAGTATATATTTTAATCCATACAGTTTTAGAAGTATGGGCTAATAGACAAAAAAAGAATGCAAATTTAGGAAGAATATTGAATTATTCAGTAGCATGTTATGTGATTAGATCTGATTGGTTCCTTACTAAGATAATGCCCATAAAAATTATTTCCTATGGTAATTTCGGTCTCAGGATGAAAATGGGGATGAGGGAGGTTTTGATGTCCATTAAATGGCAAGAACAAGGCTTACTTGAGCTAATAATATCATGGTTGCACAGAATGATTGATGGACTTTAAAAAGGCCCTGATTGGTTTCATCTTTCTCCAGATTTTATTACTTACTTGTTCATAGTCATGTACAATCACTGAAGCCAAGAGACAGAGGAAACAAGTATTTGATGTATGACATATTTTTCACAGCTGTGTTTATTCTTAAAATGCATGTATAAAGCACGCGGACACACACACACACACACACACACACACACACACACATACAATGATTACGGTAAGTGGTTTGAGAGCTAAGCAAATACGTTGCTGTCTGCTATCCCACAAATATATCAAAATTAACAATTCCTTCTACAAATATGACTCTTTTAATTACAAATTAAATGTATAATGAAGCTTCTCAAACTTTTGATCTCCTATTTGTTCCTTCTTAGAACTTATCATTTTATAATTGCAGTCTGTCAGTTTATGAGGTTGATTTAAAAAAGGGATACAGTGAAGAATTTAATTTATCTCACTGAGCCATATATGTGAGAGTGTTTTGAAGCTTCTTGTATGCTTTATATCAAAGAGGATATCTTAACCAGTTTGCTGGAAACATTTTCATCATTATGCATGCAGGCACAACAAAAAGTTGGACTGGTCTAGATTAAAAAGTGTTGGACAGAATCTTGAAAGGGTCACCAAATAGTTCTGTGCTATGAGTAGTTATTGTATGCGGATTCATCATCTCTCTTTTTTCTGTGAAAAAGTCAAACTAGAAATCAGATACTCGCAGCTTGAATTCAGCTCCTGTTGTCAATTTCATGCTTGGGAAGGCATGGATGGAGGAAAAAGACCATGTCTCCACATTCCTGTGCTGATGGTGAGCAAAGTTCTTGTCCAGAGGTCTCCTCCGTTGTGATGCGTTTATCTCCTGTAGAGCTATATGCTTTCTGTTTTGACAATTTAAACACTATTTCGAGATTGTTTTACAGTTCTTGGCAATTAATTTCTGCAGTCAATAGTATTCTTAAACTGGGCAACTCCCTTGGAACCAGGAGAAACAACAGAAAAGGGCTGTGCAAGTGAACAAGCAAGACAATTCATTAGACAATTCTTCAGCAGCTCTAAAGAGGGGGGGAGGATGTCAGCCCCTGCTTCTATGCTTCAATACTAATGAGAGTCATTGCATATTCATAACCCTAAATACAGTCAGCTGCTTATAAAAACTTTTGTCATTGAGGCTTCATCACAAGAGCAAAGCATTGCACTCTTCGTGTTGTGGCACTTCCACCAAGAGAGTGCGAGAGCAAGATTGATTGTTTTGCAACGCTCCTTGACAGGGAACTAAGAGATACTGCCCCCAGGGTCCAGGAACTAAGCTTAGTTTGATTACAAGGCTCAAAGTAATCAAAGAAACAAAAGAGGATGAAAAAGTGGATTTTTAAAAAAAGATAAAGGAAGACTCTAAAGATATAGCTTTCCTTATTGAGTGTTCAGAGTAATTATCTGCCAGCAGTTTAAAACAGTTCATATCAATTTTTATCACAGAGGAAGAAGAGCAGTGATCTCCAGCAAACTTGTTCCCATGTTATGCGTGCAGTGCAGCATGTCTTCACTGATAAAATCTCTAAAAGCAGATGAAACTTCCCATCAATATCAATAGCAAAGATTAGGAAACTTAACCTGTCAGATATTAAAATCACTTCTGCCAGTACTGTGCTGCCCAGAACTCTTTCGTGGCAAGTTTATTATCCTTTCTTGTCAATTCCTTCTTTTGTGATGTGTCTGAATCTTCATTAATTTTTTTAAAAAAAATCTTTACCCTCCTTCTAGTAAAATCCTGAATGTTTTTATAAATACTTCGGCACATTCACTTACACACACAATCACACACAGAGAGAAAATTACTGACCTTACAATACCTGTCTGTTGGAGCAGCTCTTAGCATCCCCTGGAGTTAAAGAAGGAAAGCATCTCTTTCAGTGCCCACTTTGAAAAAAGGCCTTGAGCATTTTCTCACTCATAATGATGTCTTCAGCTGGAATGCCAGCACATTTCCACATCCCCTTGACAGGCGAGCAGACTACAGGGTATCTACAAAATTAAAATAGAAGGGAATGTTAAAAGCAAGGTTTGCAGTTCTTATTATATGCTGGCTTTTTGTAATTTTTGTATTTAAAAAAAAGGTCATTTCCAAATGAAACCACTAATACATGCAAATCAAAGTTCTCCGTTACTCAATAAAATATATTTTAATATAAAATATTAAAGGAAGGAAGGACAAAATCTTAGCTATTAAATATCTTAAAGGTATTTTACTTTAAAAATGTCTTACAAGTTTGACTAATTATCTGTAGATATTATATGTGGCAAGATTTTAAATTATCTGTGATATCTGTCTGATTGCAGTAAAACATGAAAACCTTGACTTTTGCCAAGTTAGATAAATTTATTTTCCATGAATGACATGCTTTTAAGTAGGAACCAGGCAGGCTGCCAGCTTTCCAACTCCACAATGTTTGCAAAGGCCATATTTTCAACGATTTGTCTGAGATCAATGAGTGGCACTTCAGAAATTTAGAAAGGTTTCCCAGTAAATATCTTTCTCTCCAGATGCTGCATCAGACTGTTGATATTCTCTGCAAAACAGCATAGGCAGGTTTGAAACCCATGACTTTTCAAAACGATTGGCAGTGGCATTCTATATATTAAATCTCACCCCATATGAAACATTTCTATAAAAAAATAGTAAATCTCTTTTGAACATAAATTCATGCAGCAGTTTAAGATTTTTAACAGGACTGAAATAAATGTTTCCCACAAAGCTATCGGAATTGAATAGATTTCAGAAATGCTTTTTGTTCCCAAAGGTTTCTACTAACATAAGGAAGGTCATGGTCAGACCCTGCTACATGAGAAGTGTAAAATATCAAGGCCTTTTCTCAGAAATCTTTAAGTCCTGCAGAAAACTTCTTGTCCTGCTCAGCCCTGAACTCTATATCTTATCCTCTTTAAAATATACTGTGATGACTATCCAAATAAGCCTCTTTTCTGCAGATCATGACATGCATCTCTCATCCTGATCCATGGAAGTCATCAATGCATCAAAGAGTGATTGTCTTAAACAGCACTAAGATTTTATTTTATTTATTATTTTGTGCCCTTGTCTGTATTGACCACTGGTGACTGCCTGGACAGGTTTCCTGCAGTTTTCTTGGCAAGATTTTCAATAAAGGCTTGCTATCACTTTCTCCTTAAGGCTGAGAAAGAGCAACTGTCCCAAGGTCACCAGGTTAGTTTTATGTCCAAGCTGATCTACAGCTCCAGTTTTTAACCACTACACTAAACTGGCTCTCACTAAGAACAAGCAAAATATAACCCAATATAAAAGGGGGTTTATTTTTATACTGACTTAAAAGGCTGCATTGTATTGAATGAGTCTATCCAGTTTTCTGGGCAACATTTTCAGAAGATGTTTACAATTGCCTCCTCCTACAACCATTGGTGACAACTCAGAGTGTCTTCCCCTTGTTCTTATGCTTTCTTCTATGGTATGGATCTGATTAAGTGTAACATGCAATTTGCTTCTATGAAAAATAAAGCAAATCAGCTTTAACAAAAACAGTTATTGAATTACAGGCAAACTGAAAATATAAATTTCATTATTAAAGTGAGATTTAAAAATCTAAGAAAGGGCATTTCCACATTGCCAACATTCCTACTCCTCAATTCCTTAATAGCAACTAAGAAATTGTGAGTCAATCAGTGCTCCCTCCAGCTGTCAATAGTGCAGAAAATAGCATTCAAAGAATGTTCTGCTCCTTTTCAAGTTTCATAGTTTAATGAAAATAAGGACTAGGGGTGACATGATAGCAGTGTTCCAATATCTAAGTGGTTTCCACAACGAAGAAGGAGTCAACCTATTCGCTGAAGCACGTGAAGACAGGATAAGAAGCAATGAATGGAAACTAATCAAGGAGAACCAACCTAGAACTAAGGAGAAATTTCCTGACAGTTAGAACAATTAATCAGTGGAACAACTTGCTGCCAGAAATTGTGAATGCTCCAATACTGGAAGTTTAAGAAGGGATTGAACAACCATTTGTCTAAAATAATACAGGGTTTCCTCCCTGGGCAGAAAGTTGGATAGAAGACTTCCAAGGTCCCTCACAACTCTGTTATTGTAAGCTAAAGTTGAATGCTATATGATATTGTATAACATTTCTATCCATATATCTATCTATATCTATTGCTATATCATCTATATCTATGCACAACAGATTCAATAACTGTAATAATGGAAAACATTACTTTTTTTACTTCTTTTTCACTTATTTACTATAAACTTAATAGTATATGACACTCTTATCAGGGGAGGGAGAAAATTGCAATGATACCCAATGTGCATAAAAACCATGAAAATGTCAGTTACAACCAAAATTATTCTTCCTCTTTCCTTTCCAATGCCTTTTGTATTTACTTTAGAACATATTAGTAGGTTCTCAGAAAACTACAATAAAATAGATATAGTCAATGTACTCAAATAGAACTTAGGATTCAAAGCAAAAGCCCCTCAATTATCTTTTGCATCACATAAGGAAATACCATTCCAATCACTATCATTTTGTTTATTAAAAGCATCTAAAAATCAACGATTTAGAAACTGTTAATCAAGAATTATATATCAGGTTTTTCAGAGGTGGTTTACACAGGACACTCCTGCTACATGAGCAACAAACATGTTTTTGCTACATGTTTCTTTGTTACATGTTGCATGTACTTTGCTTCTATGTAAAATTGACTTTGCAATAAAATTTCAATAAAATGTGTGCAATCAATTTAAAAGAAAATAGACATATATGCACAGTACTTCCCCATCAGATGCTATGATGATTATATATATTTTATGACCTTGTCATAATGTGTCAAATTGTAAACTTAAAATACATGCTTCATTTATAAATGAGATCAGCCAACTATACATGAAAGATTGTTTCATTGATTTGCAGTCAGTGCTAATTTTTTGAGCACTAATTATACAAAGACAATTGTGTGATCCAAGAGTTCAGTACCAACTTTTCAAAACCTAGGTGCAACTTTCAAAAATATTTATACAAAAAGAAATGCATATACATTTGGCATCAATATGTATGTTTGAAAAGCATGAATATAATATTGCCTATCATATATAAGTAGTTATTGCAATCCAATAGTGAACCCCATATAAGTTTTTTTGCAGACTATTGTTTATGTTTAGTACTCAAATCCCTCACAGTAGATGCCAAAATATGATGAGACATTTCCATTCTTCTTCAATATTTTGGGCAAGCATCACAAAGTGATAGCAGAGGAGGATTTTTCAAACAAATGCATTCTTTCATGAGAAATTTGGCATGTGGAATTGCCTTGACATTCTACTTGTATAGAGTCTGTATGCTAAACCATTCGTATAGCACCTGGATTAGCAATGCAACAATCTCTGATACTCATAGCAATTGAATAGCACACTTCCATGATTGTGCACTTGGAAGAGATTACCTATTGTCCTCTCAATTATCAAGCACTTCCTGGTTTTGGAAACTTGCATCCCATTATCAATATAGTATTTTGGTAGACATGACCCCTCTTTCAAGGACAGAGGACAAGATGATCATGGTGATAACTGTCAAGAGTACATTGCTAGCTCTCATTCTCTTGGTGCTTCTGAAGAACATTCATTAGCTTCGTACTGAAGAAGCTTTCAAGGTGGTTCTGCTGGCTATGACAGTGCCATCTTTGCTTGTCATCATCCAAGAATAGGATTAGGAAGGCCAGCAACAGAAATAGCAATAGAATTTAGATTTATATACCACCTTATAGTGCTTTACAGCCCTCTCTAAGCAGTTTTCCAGAATCAGCATATTGCCTCCAACAATCTGAGTCCTCATTTTACCCACCTCAGAAGGATGGAAGGCTGAGTCAACCAGCATGGCCGTCTTCATTCTGTTCATAATTATATAAAATAATGTATATTATTATTTTGTAATTAATATAATAATTCATAATTATATAAAATTATACATATTTATATTGTAATATTTATATTAAGAATATACAAGAATGTGATTGTAAATGTGTACCATTTTTTTTTAATTTGGGTTGCTTAAATTACTACACTATTAAGTTCCAGATGCCAAATATGAATATGTAACTAAAAAACTCATATGGGGATGGGGGTCTGGAAAACTGAATCCAGTAACAAAAAGTGATTTAATAAGGAAGATTCTTTTCAAATAAAATTTCATCACGCTTTCTGTAGCTCTGTTGTTGGGATAAAAAAACATTGGAAATAATAGAACCAGTAATTTAAATAATCTGTTAAAAAGTTCCCTAATGTCTAGTCATTTTTAAATGGCTTTCAAACTATTCATGAACAATATATAAACAGTTTGTGATTCATGTCACCAAGCGCTTGGAAAAAATACAAATTTTATTAAGAGCCTCTTCAAGGAACTGATATAAATTTGGGCAAAATCCATTTTAGCTTGTAGCATTTCAGCACAATTTTTAAATGGGTATGCCTCAAGGGTCAAACTTTCCACAAACCAAAGCTGGCAGAAAACTTAGAACTGGTAGTGAAGATCAAGGAGTCAAAAAGCGCTGGAAGATACTGCATGGTTAATTGTAAGAATTATGCTTCAATTGAAGTGCAATTGAAGTTCTATAATGACTTGGAACCATTAATGCATGTCAGATTTTACTACAATCAGAGTTTATTGCATAGTTAGAAGGAGTGCACACATCTAATGGGCAGTACCTTACAGTATATTTAGAATCAATGAGAAAAATACAAACTAGTGCTTCTCTTAGTGTATCTTTTTCACGCTTATTCTGTTGGATAAACTGAAACTGTTGCATTGACCATATACCGGTAATCATATCAATTATATCAATGTGTATGCTACTAAGCATAAGTTTGGTATTAGTTTATAAAATTTGGAGAATTATAATACAAGTGAAAGTTAATGTAATTAAAAGAGCCAAGGTTTAAGTGTTATACCTTTTATGATCTCATTGATCTCCCATGCAAGGTACCTGTATATGAATTTCTGAGGACTTAGAGAAAGTTCTATATCAATGCTTAACTATTATATTAGTGAGTTGCCTAAGTCTAACTAAGGCTCCAGTTGATCATATTTAACCAATTATTCATTACTCAACTCCCAATGGCCATTTTTCTATTTTTCTCATATCTCAGGCTAACTGCTGACATATTTTCAGTCCAGTTCCACATGAGAAAATGGCTTTGGTTTTCTCTGTGGGGCATTCAGTTGATGACACTCTTAATTTTATCATACTGTAATCAACTTCTAGTACATTTTCCACTGCTCCTCAGAGATTACCAGTATATGAGAATGTATGAAACATCAGTGAGAGATGCATAGCTTTTCGGATGTGTGAATAATAACCAGAGAATGTACAATGTGCAATCAAGATATACACATTCCCCAAGGCCTGTTGGAGATTATATATATATATTGGCCAAGAAATATGCATTAACTCTCTTTGTGGATAGTTTGTGCGCACTTTTTCCACTGGATCCAATGAATATTCACAAGCCTACGTGAAATGCACATTATCTATTAAAATCATATTAATTTACTGTTTTGGATATTTTAATCACTTTTCAAAAAAAACTAATGCAGTTTTCACAAGTTTATATATTTAGGAATGAAAATATTGTATAACTAAGGCATAACAGATGTTGAATTGTGTGGTTCAGCATATTAATATACTCAAAAATGTTACAGTATGTCTCAACTGACAAGGAGGTTACCAGTATGATTACTGTATTCTAATTTTGCAATAATAAGTAATATTTTAAAACTGCACTGGAAACTTAACAAAATTCAGAATAAATTTCCTTAACTCCCAAAGGGCTTATGCTCTCATTACAGAGTTTAATATTTACATTGCATATACATTATGCTTAATGTAATAATATCTATAATCTGAAGTATACTTACTTGGAAAATTCTTATTGCAATCAAATGGGTATTTATTAGCATCTAAACATCCTTAAATTATTATATCCCTAGCATCGAAACAATGTAGTACTGTTAAGCATAAGTATCTCTAGTGATACTTAAAAACTTATTTCCGTTTATCATTTGGGGTTTTCACAAGTTGTTTTAACGTGGCTCAATCATTCAGAAACCATAGTTCAGAGGGAGAACTGCTGCATTACACACAGATCTCAGGGTCAACATCTTTTCAAAGCCTGGAAACCAGTGCCATGGAACAATACCTGGCTAGCTGAACTAAGGATCTGATTTAGTAGAAGACAGCAGCATATATAAAACTAGTGTCATATCCAAATGCTTGGTCAGTGAAGCAAATACAGAGTGTGGAGTAAGCTATTCAAATATCCATTTAGACATTAACGTTATGAATTTCTATTGCATTCTTGTTAAAGGATAAGTCACAGTCATCTGCAGCATTTAACCATTCCTAAATAAATCTTTGATAGCCTGACCTCTCCTTAAACTGCCTAGGCATTCTTTATTCAATCATTGGTTTCATATCATGTTGAACAATGTGCTAATCCTCTTTTCAATCAACTAATAAATTGTCCTCTCTAATTCTTGTTTGATAAAAGTCACTTAAAATAGTAGCCAAACTTGAGATTAAAAACTAAATTGATTTTTTCATTCATTTTTCTACATATTTGAATTTTCTTGGAATAGCCTGATTAAAGTTTTGCATATTTACATCTCCTTCGTTTAAATAGGGAAAGATGTAAATATGTGCTTACGCTGAAATATAAACTTCAAAAAACTCTAATTTCTGTATACAAATTGAGTTTATTTACAAGAGAATTATAATTTAGTTTACTAGTAGTGGTTCTCGACTAGAGTTAGTACCTAGCTCTCCCTAGCTAATCTTGAAAAACTGAGCAAGTTTAGACTAATTTAGTACTTGGATATAAAATAACTGGCATATACCAGGAAATTACAATGGGTAGTTTGAAAAAAAATTCAGGAAAAAAAATCAAACCACTTTCATATTGGTAAAGAGCTACAACTACTTATTTAATAGTACACCATCCATTTGACTCTTATTGTGGAAGAAAAGTAGAATATAAATGTTACAAATTAAGAAACTTCCACCACACCATCATAGAATTTATATTGTAACTGTTTATATATGACAGCTCACGAACCAATCAAACTCCTTGTTTAGTGGGAGTTTTAAATGCACCTTTAGAAAGAGAGAGATTCAGAAGGTTGAAATGGGCAATAGTTCAATGGGGCAATAAAATATTAAGATAAAAGCCCAACCCAGAAGAGCAGCCAAAGGAGACAGTTAGTTAAATAAAGAGGAAAAGGAGTGAGATTGAAAGCTTCTGAAAACGTATTTTGCAAAAACAAAGTCTGAATTATTATAACAGTAGCACAGAATTAGGTTTGCAACTGAACGTGGATCGAATTGGATATTCTCGATGAATTCCAGACAAACTTTAAAATGTTTAAGGCCCATTATTTCCGTGGAAGAAAGATAGTTGTTAATGCTTTTCCACAAAAATCAATGAGACAAGTGTTTAACTTTGTACAGAACATACTTGTGTTTGTATCAGTGCTACAAGTAAAAAGGATACAGATGATGATGAACCCTGGAAATTGGGGAGAAGTGTGTGTGAAAATCATTTCGTCCTTTTACTAACTTCCTTTGTTTTGAAAAGCTTGACTGCAAGACCATCATTGTAATGATACTTCTAGTCTCAAAGGGACAGGAAATGCAACATCACTTTATCAGAATTTTCAAACCGCAGTGCATAATAGCATGAATTGTTACAATTTCACACTCTACTGATACTATCATTTTTGCCTTTAAAAAAGATGTCAGGACTGTTTCCTTTCTTGATATGAGTTTAGTCTGTGTCTGGACAATCTTTTTGTGGCTGTTTGAGGGTAAAATAAGTTTGACTGAACTTAGTTATTTCAGCACTCATGTCAAGTATAAATATGAACCTATTTGTCATATATCTTTCCTTCAGCTATCTTGTGCTTCAGCTCTAGAATCTTCACCTCACAATGTGCAAAGTATAACAGGTGATGATACTGTTGTGAAAAAAATAAAAGATACTGTTGCTGCAATAATCATATATTTCACGATTGTCTTTAAAACAGAAGGGCTTACAAGATCTGGGCAGCAAAACTCAGGATAGCCATTAGACACAACAAAGAGTTTCCTGTATTTCTCTGCTGCCATCTGGTGGTAATCTGGATTCTTGCAACTCAGACACGGCCACCCTAAATAAAGCCTTGTTTCAAACTTTCTTTCTTTCCCCACTGTCATTGTGAAAGCTCCAATTTGTGCTTCACAACAATGCCTGCATCATCATTACACTGCTGTCCATTTGGATTCTAATAATAGTTAAGAGATTGCATTTGTATTATCTATCTTAGAGACTTTTAAAATCTTGATATGGAAAGGCTGATTTCATTGGCCCCCATAGTTAAAGGAAAGCAGATCCTAATTAAAAGAATTCTGTTCTGAATTAACTTGTTTGACATGTGCTAATTGACAGTTCCTGTGAAATGGTTCTAATTAAAGTCAATATGTCTTTTTCAATTAAAAGGAAATTAAGAATATACTAATATACATTAACAACTTAATCTGCCTTAAATATCCCATATATCAGCTGCCGGAATGTTACTGGTGAGCCATCTGACATATATCTTCCCTTGTTTGGCTGTGAAGACTTTTTATTCCAAAAGAGCAATAACCAGCTGTTATGTCCTACACTCAGCAAAGAGAAAAGCAAATTTGTGTAAGTTCTAAATGCAAAGATGGTTGAAGAGAAATCTGATACCTTCTTAACAAACTGGCTATAATATTGATAGATAGGAAAGTGGTTGTCTTGGGTTCAAGATTTGCCCTGCTATAAACAATTAACTATGTGAGTAGACAGCAAACAGTATTTTTTATTATTATATTTATCAGGTACATGGTGTTTCTCTTTCTCATAAAAGTCATTTTCATTGTATATGAAACATGAAGAAGATAGTTGCCTGGTGAGAGCTGAAAGTCACCCCCTTTATTATCTGTGGGAATATGGAAGAGCCATTTATAAACCACAAGGTTAATTCAAATGTTTAATACCAACATTTTAATATTACTAGTTTTGCTGACACAGCAAGGAATATTAACAACCAGTAATATCACAGTGATATACACAGCAGTTGCATCTGCTTTACATGGTATGCTAAAGTAATTTAAAGTGGTTTCCTCATATATAATTTGTTTCAGTCTGGTTTTAAGATTAGAATGAAGTTAGATTTGGAAATAAATACAGCAACATACCGTTTAACTGAACATAACAAGAAGCTGCTGAATATTGGGTAAAACCAATATCTTACAGGACCTGAAGTTAGATTTGGAAATAAATACAGCAACATACCATTTAACCGAACATAACAAGAAACTGCTGAATATTGGGTGAAACCGATATCTCACAGGACCTGATTTGTCATCCATCTACAATATATAAGTTCACTCTTAAAAGAAGATATAATACAGTATCTATACAGAAGTGGCCAGAAAGTACATTGAAATATAACTAATAAACCTCTGCAAGATTTTTAGTAGATTAAGAAGGATTTCTGATTTCCATTTGTCAACAAGAACGGCAGAAAATACCTTCTTTTTTCCCCTAATTATGCTGCTGCTGAAACGAAGAAAGTTTGACAGATAACAAGGATTTTTGCATGAAAGGATTGTTTGCTTGGTTTGGTAACACAAGATTTTCCCACACAACATTGTTGCTGCTGCTGTGAGCAATATTCCTCATACTCCAATTATAAATAATTTAAGATAAAAGTGAAAGAATGCAAACCAAGAATACAATTATGCAGGTGGTGGATCACCCCGCCTGCAGGCAGCACAGCACCATCAACATTAAACATGTTCTGAAAATCTACCTGTCATTCTGTCTTTACAGAGCTGGTGTGCATCTGCAAAACATATTTTTCTTGGACCTCACTTTCACTTTGCCTGGAGTATCAGATTCTGGCTAGCTGGTCAGCTCAAGCCAAATTATAGCCTAAAAAAACACTGATTTCTTTGTAGATATGTGGATATGCAAGACATACTTCTCCATAAGTCAATGTATATGGATGTACAGGATATTTGCATGTATAGATGGCATAATGTTATGTGGTTTACAACAAGTGTGATACAAACTCATATGAGTGCTATATAAGTTCATCCCAGATTGCACCTATCTTCGTCTTTAAGCAAATAATTAACTAAGCATCCTGTCTGTTTATACCCTGGCTAACAAAAACAGAACTGTTTGTGTGGGGAAGAAACTGCTGTGTTGGCAAGACAAGCGGATCCCATAAACTCTAGAGTCCAAAGAAAATTTATTTTGGCAGCAAGTCTGTTCAAGTAATCAGCATGTGGGACATGGTACGTTATAGCCCAGGCAAGACCCCCTGTTACTAAAGCATGTTTTTGCTCAAGTATCAGCCCAAATCTTCCCTCCTCCAAAGTCCACCCCCATCTTTATTCATATTTGTCTTACTCTAAGTGCTGTGAAACAACTATACATCCTCTCTTAATGTATACATGCTGGAAACTCTTTGCACTGCTAAAAAGAAACAGATAAACATTTTTCCCATATTTATTTGTTCAGGAGATAGAATATAGTCCTTTTGGGTGGTATGGATATCTTATTGGCTTTACTATCCAGAGCTCTTGGCCTCAAGCAGTCTTCCTTCATACACCAGACCCTGCTTCCCTTCCCCCTTGTTTGTTTTTCAGTTGAATAATCATACCTTGGGTCAGCTGATTCTGACCCATGTGTACTTTCCATGGTCCAATGCGTGTACCAGCTTCATTTTTTTTTAATTGTTGTTGTTATTATGGAAAACATGAAACTTTATCCAAGTGCCTGGGAAAAGATTATGGAACTCCTTTTAGTAACGGCTGCTATAATGTAAACAAAAAGAAGAAAATGAACGGATATTAACCATATGAATTCATCAGCATTTTCTTAAAAACCAATTTAACTTTTCAGAACATCGTAATGCTTTCCAAACTATGTTAAAAAGAACAGAGTGATCTACCTATGTTTCAGAATATAGTCTCTGAATATTGGGTCACCTAACATCTTGAGACCATGCTACCAAAGACCTCTGCAACGGGCCTAGATTTTGTCAACATAATCTCATCCCATTTCTTTTATTGCTAGATAATTACAAGAGTAAAAGAGGGCAGCTATTCCTCTGAGGAGCCTTAAAATGTCCCCCAAAAGCAACCAAGCATTTTTTAATCCCACCTCACTGAGTGATATCACTACAGGGCTTCCTGTGACCCTTCAAAACATCAGGAGGCTGGGTTTGAATCCCCCATTCTTCAAACATTGTCTGAATCTGACCTAGGACTTCTCTTGTCCAGGGGATGTATTTGAAATTTTAAGAGTATCTCAAAGGCACTACACAAAAGGGCTGCTATGAATAAACTATCCATTTCCCAAGGTTTTTTCTTCTTTAATTAAAAGAACCTAGCAACAGTGTTAGGTGGCCAGAAGCCCAGGGGCCACAAATGGAGCTGTCTCTGTCATAAATTTGCTACAATACATAAATCTAGTATAAACGAAAAAGGGGAGTCATCCCCAGGCAATATGTTTGGGGCACTATTTTAAAATTCAAGCATCACAACAAGTAATAATATTTAAAGATGCATCCCATTAAAGTATATTATTTAAAACAATGTTAAGCTGAAGGTATGCACTCCTTTACGGAGAAATAGAAAGCGCACCCAACTAGGAACATGCATTCACAAGAAATACTATGCCAAAGTGTACCTTGTAATTTCTCAATATTTTTATTCCTCTGTAAATCAAGCTTCTGGTTTTCTAACATATTTTTAGGATCACTAATTCCTTTCAGATTTCTTCTGACTTCTCAAAACTTTTGGAACTTTTTTATTGTTGTGAGAAGCACTGCCTGTTGTTGCTGGCATTTCTGTTTTCTATCACCCATCATTCTATCATTCGGAAACCTTCCTGCTGACTGCTTTCAGATCTGAAAAAGTCCAATGGAAGGAGTTCATCACAATGTGTTGGACTTACAGGAAGTGAGGGAAGCTGCATAATGCTAGCCAGATGATAGTCTGCTAAAAGATTATTCCTGCACTGCCTTTGACAGTAAATCAAATATATGAAAGTCCACCCATGTTAAAGTTCCCTGAATTCTCCTCTGAAACAAATTTTGAAAACAAAATATCTTTCATGAAGTAGAATTAGAACTAGCAAAAAAAAATATCAGAAGAGAGCAGGGGGAGGGACTCAGTTCTGAAAAGTTATTTTCTGGTATCATCCTTCAAAATCAGTTCAAAAACCATCCTACTTGGGCTAATTGCAATGATAGATTGAAAGCAAAAAAGGGGAGGAAAGGTTAAACTTACAATATTTGTGAGTTATAGTTCATGTTATATTGGCTATTTTAATATGGCATACATAAATATTTTGGGTATCTTTAAAAAAATATTAGAAGCCAAATAATAAAGAATAATATTATTATTTCAAAATAACATCTGCAATTCATTATCTGCTTGCTTTTACTGCTTGGCTCTTCTTCTGTCCTTAGGGTAACAATACATCAAATTCACTGATATCAGGGATTTTATTTATTTTATTTTATTTTATTAATTAATTAATTATTCATTCATTCAATTTCTATAGCCACCCAACTTAACCAAGTGACACAGGTGTATCATTGTTAGAATCAGGAAATGGATTTTCCATTGGTAACACTCTGGATTCCAGAGCTCATTCTTACATGCCAAACAGGAAGCTTGGGGAGAAGAGCTAGATTTTTTCTGTCTGGTACAGATATAGTGACAGTCATGTCTGAGAACTGACAGAGATCTGGAGTAACCTGAATAGCACAATGACATGTATATTAAGATCTTCAAGACTATCCAGATTATAAAACTAACAAGTCTTTTTTTTTCCTTATTCCCTTACTTTGTTGACTCCACCAATTACTTCTGTTCCTCTGATTTACAAGGGTTATTTTTTTTTAAAAAAAGTTTTTTGTTCTAATCAAATGGACACATTTATTTTTCATCCACTAACTGTACTGAAGGTCTCCCAACAGCTTTTTTTATCAAGAAACTGAACGGTTTGTGAGCTTTCCATTCCAGTTCTATGTTTGTTATTGTCACTTTATTAAGTACAATTCAATAAATATTACTACTGAGTAATAAAATTACAGGAGAATGGCCTTCTGTCTTTCATGATAACCTTAACTCTCTGCCCAATATTGCATCCCATTGGGCTCTCTGTGCCTGGTACTCTTTCGTTCGCTCATGCTATATGTAGCGATATATGTATATATGTAGAGCATCTATTAATTTTATTTCTTTTGTTCACAAGGGTAATCTGGCACTTCATCTTATATGATAAATTTTAGTGACTGGTTTAGAAAGTTACAAGAGGCACAATCTGATTAAATTCATAAGAAATCAGAGATGGGATTTTGGATTATTTACAGGGACTTCAAACTTTTTTCTACTAAATTAAGGAATGTGTTCACTCCCAAATCTTTGGAATAAGAGGCATGCATAATTAAACACTGTCTTCTCTGCTAAAAAGATATCACCCACCTATCCATATAGAGTTTGAGCATTTCCAGCATGATAGTCAGGTTTGGATAAGTTCAGCTTCCAACATAATACATAGCTATATTCTCGCGCTAAGTTGTGGCTTATTTTAGTCATAACTTTTTATCAAAATATTTGCATGATAGAACCACGATTTATAGTGCACAGAGACCGAGTTAATACATCACACAAAGCCAATATGAAAGAAATCATATTACAGCCTAGAATTGTTTGTGACCCCAGCCAGTGCATCAACTGAAGCTGTTTACAATCCAACTGGTGAAACTAATGTCAAAGTATATGTGAATCAACTCTATATTTTGATTTTTCGATGTCATATAATCTGTAGTTTTCTATCTATTTTTAATTGCTACCCAGTTATTCAAGGTGTTTATCAATATTTAGCATCCCCATGATATGAGGCTCAGACAGTAATTATCTGACCCTGTAAAAATGCTTTTAATGAAGTGCCAAGTTATGATGAACCATTGCCTGTCTCCAGCAAAGCTGATGAGATGGGCAGAACATTGGTATAATAAGTAATTATTCAGTAATGGATGATAACGCTTGTTCACATTCTGATTTTTGATGTCTGAATAATATATATTGCAGTTTTGAAATGCAGTATAATTTTACTGAAAAGCATCTGATAGGCAGCAAATGGGCACAATTTTTGCATGATTCTCATAAGCCTTCAATTATTTTCCACCCTGATTATGTAGAAAGAGATACAGATGTATTCTATGGCACATATGCTTTTACAGCCATAAAAGAATGTGCAATAAATGGATCCAATTTTCAGTGAATAAATCTAGATACTGTAGATAGTCTATAATGATAGATGATAGACAGATAGACAAACAAAATATCTTGCCATTTTTCCAAGTATAGCAACCTGACCTTGATACTATATGTGACTATAATTGAATATATGGACTTTTAATTTTTCATTGTGTCAATTTTTTTAAACCCACCAAATAAATATACTCAGTCAAACACTTATAATTCACTAGCTGAAAAAGTCTCTACACTGAAAGAGATTACTGTTGGTTCCAATGCCCATTTTTTAAGAATTGGTAATCGAAAATGTCAGAAGAATTGGGGAGTGATTCTGTCTAGAACAAGCATGCAGTGCATTAGGCTCACATTATAACATCATTCCTTCCTGGGATTTTTTTTCCTTTAAACTAGTTTCTTTTTTAAAAAAAAAAAAGTCTTCCAGCACTTCCATCAATCACATCACCAAAGAAAAGAATTCTCCATCTTCATCTTGTGTATTTTTGCAGGTTTTATAAGAAGTAGTAGAAGAAATGCCCAACTAAATCAGATGTGGCCAACTTTGCCAAAGCCTACATGCTTTTTATTAAATGTTATCAGCAATCAAAAGGGCCATTAGATATGGCAGTGATACATTACTCTCATAAACATAGGTAGTGCAAGGTTTTTCATATAGTTCTGAGATCTGAGAAGGATTCTTTTTGTGATACTGTTATTTTGGGGGAATTGGAATATCTGAAGAGGGGACAGCCGAAACACTCAAGATACAATAGTGGCTTCAACCACACAATCAAAGCCTTTTTATCTGTGATAAATAAATGACACATTAAAAAAGAGATTGGGCTTTGATCTTATAATCACAGTCATCACAATTTTTTTAATATACCAGGCATACCTATATGGGATGCATTGAGTCTATTTTGGAAGTTCTACACCCACTTTTTCTTTGCTTCATTTTTAAAAAAATGATATTGACATCAATAATAAATGAAGAAAACTCTTTGCTTTTCCGTTCACTTTTGCTTTTTTTTTTTCTAATCTGCACTAGGAATTTCTAGAGGACTTCAAATCTCCAGATCACATTTTGGATATTGAATCTGAAATCCTACCACTCCTATTATGTACTCTGATACCTTAAAAATGAAGCACCATATAGGCCATATTTAGATTGGGAACTGTTACTTAGAAAATAAAATTAACATAATGTTTATGCCTTACTTTCACTTGTAATACTAAAATTGGATTCTTAATCAACCATCTCTGGAACATTTTCATACCTTCCATACTTACACATTTTGGTTCACAACTTCAATTATTCTTAGATCACAGTAGACAGTGGACAGTCTTAAGCAATGCCAGCCTTGAGGTATCCTGTCAGTGATGCTTCAGACCTTTGGCTTTTTCTGAACCAAACCCCAGCAGTGCCCTTTTTAGTATCTTCCATATTGCTACTGAATAGACAAAATGACAAAAGAAGGGATTTTTAAGGAAGCTTTTCTGGAAGGTTTTCCAAGTCTATTATTTATGTACTTTATGTGTCTTACATTTTTAATTCACCTTTGTCCCTGGGCTCTCAGCAGGTGCAGCATCTGGCCAACTTTCTCTGGGATCAAAAGATAAGCAGAACAGGGCCTGCTTAATATTTGGAAAGAAGAATGCCATTGAATCCCTGGACTTTAAACAAGAGTAGAAAGTCAGAAACTATGTCAAAAGAAGGTCACACTCTGGTTGCCAAGAAAACTACATGAATTTCCCCATGAAGTTTAAAGTGAAGTTCAACTTAAGGGAGACTTTACCATAATCTCCTCCTTGCAGCAGCCATAATTAACACCTGCAATTTATCAGACGTTTTATGTGCATTCCTCAAGTCTCACTTCCCTTGTTAAAATAAATTAGTAAAGCAGCCAGAAATGTACAGTTAATGAAAAAAAAATCTTGTAACATCTTTCATGTACATATAATTAAGAATGAATGGCTGCTCGTGTTCTTTTCTTGAGTTCACATGTCACTGTGATATATTCAGCTTGTATTGATAACTCACATTGTCATTAAAGATGATTTCACCCGTGAACCATAGACTGATCTTTAGCTTATCTGTAATACAAATATAAAAATTAAATTGAACAGTGTGTGTGTTTGATTTTAAGGCTACAATTCTACGCCCTTTTATTTTAGGAGGGAAATCCAGCATTACATAAATGGGCATAAGACCCATTAAACTCCAAGGCATTTCTTCCCAGATATGTATGGTTCTACATTGGTATAGCGGTGTGGGAGAAAATATTAACAACTTTCACACTTAGCATAAGTAGCTAAAATGAAGACAAAAAAGCTAATAGATGTGAAAGTGCCCATGGCACTTGGGATATTTGTGAATTAACTTGGATAGAATACATTCCTATATGATAAATGAGCTGAATCTCAATTCAATCATACTTAGAGATAAGCTAGATATTGAATCTGAAATCCTGGCAGTCTATTTTAGAAGCATAATGAAATTTGGATCCAATCCAGCTGTAGATTAGGATCCAAACATCTAATCCAAACTTTTAATTGAGGTTATCCTGCCAGCATTGCTCATCTACAGAATATGATATTTCCAATTAAATGCAGGTATGGATTTTCTTTCTGCATTTGTTGACTTTACTTATTGTCTTTGATTTTTTTCATTCCTTAAATCTTAGATCCGTAACATAAAATCACAGACTTGGATCTAAAGTGGAATAAGTAATTGCTTGATAGTTCCTTGCTAACTTTTGAAAGTGGTCTGCAGCTGCTGATGTATGTTTGTGCTGGCACTGCAGAGTGGAGTCCTGGGAATAAGGAATCTGACTTCAGAGAAACAAGAGCTAGCTTCAAAGACAAGAACAACTCTCCCCAGCTGATAGAACTTCTACTGAAAGAAAAACAACAATGAAGTAAAAAAAGCACACCAGTAATAGCTCCTGTTACTGCCCTGCAATCCTATTCCAAGCATTCTTATCATTTGTTTGATTGCACACTTCCATTTTCACAATCTTCTATCTATTTTATATTTTGTATTCTTGAAATTCTTGTTTTTTATGATATTTTGTTTACCAGTCACAGTTACATGTTGAGATTGGACAAGAAAGAAAGAAAGAAAGAAAGAAANAAAGAAAGAAAGAAAGAAAGAAAGAAAGAAAGAAAGAAAGAAAGAAAGAAAGAAAGAAAGAAAGAAAGAAAGAAAGAAAGAAAGAAAGAAAGAAATCTTCCTTAGATTAATACTATCTTTTTGTTGATTTAGGTGTTTAATGGTAATGAGTCTATATTACTTCAAATGTATTATACGGATAAGAGCCAAAAATGACTGTCATCATTTTGATAAACCTTGGAAGTTTCCACAGGTTTTAGGCATATAAATTGCATGCTTTATACAACAACATAACAAATAATTCCACATTTATGCTAATATATTTGATCAAAGTTTTTATAGATTACAACATACATTTCAAGTGTTCTAATTACTGTTGAATCATTAAGTGCTTTCATTGCATTTTTATTATTTAAAAAGCACATACAAAGCATGTGGGCAGGTACTGTTCACTTTGTATGATTTTGAGAATTGAATTTCAGTGAAATTTTAAACATTATTGTGCTATCAAAACATTCTAGTATAGCATTATCTTTTGAGATAAATAGGGTTTTAACCATTATAATTAGATAGAGTTGGCATATTTTTGCCTGAAAATATGAAAATATTTCATGAAAGTAAATTAGTATGACCATTTCAGTCATTCTTTTTACATTCAATAAATAAGCTGTTTGCTTAAAAACCTTCAATTTTTACTATACAATGTATTTTTTAAATTTTATACATGAACATTAAAAAATTTGGCTGTAGAAATGATAAAAGATACTTTTGGAAAATGGTCTTAATACTGCTAATCAAAATTACACTGCAGCTATTCTTTTTTTTCTCTCTCCTAAACTAATAGACATGGGAGTATGTTAGAAATTGAACATAACAATATCTCGACACTACATAAAATTATATAAATGAAGCAAACATTTGAATGTTTTGTCTAAATACTTCTAAGCAAGTAAGATCACACATGATGTCTCAAAAACTGTACACCAAAATTTAACATAGGAAAATTAAAAATTGACTTTAATAAATTAATAACTTTAATAAAAAAAATTAAAACTGGAACCTTATGCTTACTTCAGCTGGGAATAAGCCCCACCGAACTTAGTTTTACATACTTTCAAATAGATATTTTTTTTAAAAAAAATTGAAAAGCAGAGTTCAAAGTCAAGAAAAATGGTATTTAATTGTACTTAGACTGGCAGAAGGAAACTTTTGCAGATAGGGGTGAGTGGGATGATGCTTTTCTTTCCTTTTCCTTTTTATCTACACATTCAGCAGAGTTTGAAGATTTACTACAACATTCTGTTCTCTATATAGAAAAACTGAGTTTTATTTCACAAGAGGAAAACAGTATCTAAACGTTATTGTGTTCACTTAATTGTACGTAATAAAACAACGTATTTTTTCCAGAGCACCTTATAAAATTTGTGAATAGAACGACATCAGATCATCCTGTTATTTATTTATTCATCCCACTTAGATAGTTAACAAACAGGCTTACCTGAATTAATATTACACAGAGGTTTTTGATAAACCAAAGGGAGGATGCAGGTGATTTCCTGCTGGCCATTTTTATAGGTTCCCTGCCAATGATCAGTGGGAACAGGAAACTGGCAAAGCACAGCCTGAAAATCAAAATGAAGGTCCATTGTTCAGCTGAAACAAAGGAGACAGGGGGATACATAGTTATGCCAAACTTCTAACTTTTCAACCTTGATACTGTCTTACAGTACAAAGCTATTATGAACAATTGATATACAAAAGTGTTTAGGGTATCCTGACTTTTCACATTTATTTAATCTTTATCGCAACCTTGAGAGGTTAAACAAGAATTAACTAAGTAATGATATGTGACCCAATGATCTTTGATATGGCTGGAGGATTTTAACTGATTGAAACCCTTGTCTTATCATTTTATTACTACTGCATAGAAAAGAACTAGGAAGAAGAAATGCTGATGAAAGAATGTAATTTTTAAAAGTAAGCAAGATCCACTCTAGATTTACAAAAATATCCATCAGTTGAGGTCCAATCATTAGGTAATTATACTCAATAGTATATTGAGTATATAATTATACTCTCTTCGTCTCTTTGTGAGATTTGTAGCGCATAGGTAGGTTACAAGGATATTTGTCAGCAATGAGGGATTAAAAAGTCAAGATGGCCGCTACAACATGTTTGAAGATGACTTTTTTGGGGGGAAAACCCAGCAAAAGTAGAAGGTAAAGTGGACGTTTTGTTCTATGTGACTGAAAAAGATAATGGAGCTAAGACTGGGAAGTCCACCTTGAGTTTTCAGTGCTAATAGAAATAGGACATAATATTTTGATGTCATGCTGATCTATGTAAGAGGATAGGAAAGTATAGGAGATAAATAATGCTGATTAAAGCTGCACTTCTTTCATGTTTACCATTTGAAGAGGCACTTCTATTTACTCCTGCTGGGTAGTGGCTGAAATGCTCATATTGCAAACTACAAAGTAAATATTAGAACTGTTTTGGATTTAGATTGAGATGATTTTTGTTTTGATTTATATTTAGATGATTCATGCACATCAAAATAATATTTCATGAAATATTTCTGGAGATATTAATTTGTGCTTTCCCCAAGGAGTATTTAAAATATATTAGGGGTGTCGGGATGTTTTTTCAATTCATCAAAAGAAGATTTTTTTGTAATAAAATTCTGTTGCAGTCGGAATTTGTCCAGTAATAAACCTCCTGGCAGGAAACCTGTCAGTCGTCTGTTTCCAAGTTTTTGGGATAAACAGCAACATGAAGTGGTTCAGAAGAAGAGGCCCAAGATGGTGCCTGACCTCTGACTTCTAACATTTCATCCTCCTCTTGGCTCATGGTTATTTGAAAGCCTGACAGAATACTCGGTTGTCCTGTTTATGAAAAATCTATTTATTTTTCAGAAACAGTTTGGAGGGAAATATCCAGATCACAAGCTCTGAGATATAATTAAGCCATATGGATACTCTGGATGGGTGGGGAAACTTCAGCACCAGGGCCTATTTGGATTTTTTTTTCCCTAGAAAGGTGATTTCCTCCAACCTGGGCCAAGGATAAAATAAAGTCTGGGGAGAGCAGAATACATGCCCGTTGGATTTACCACTATTGGTTGGACTCATACAATAAATCACAATAAATGTAGTTGCCATAGTAAACCAAGTCATAGTAAGCCAAGACCAAACAAATTGGATTATGTCTTAGATAGTGAGTGAGCCCAGCCTTAGCGATAGGAGATCTATAAAGCAAGAGCTCCAATCTTTCTTGATCAATAAACACATTTGAAATTCTGTTGACAGTAATAGACTTTTTCACAAAATAGGTATCATGATGGTCATGGCCAAGCACAAGATACGAGGCACATGTGCTATCAAAAGGCAAACTAGTGAAATTTCTTCCTAACCCTCTTTCAGCCTTGAGTTTAGACTACAAGACCTCCAATGTCCCTTCCACCTTTTCTATTCTGTTAGAACAAACAAAAGAGTAAAGTAAGAAAATGACAGAACAAGCAACAAATAAAAGAAGAAGTACAAGCAACAGATAGCAAAAGGCAGAATCCTGAACCAACTGCAGGATGAGAATAGGCTTTATATCACCTCAATGATAGCTAGGTGACTAGAAATCCATTATAGGAAAATGATATAAATCATATAATTTCAGATAAAATATTTTTCCCTTTCAATTTGAAAGTCCCAGAACTAATAAAGTACTAAAATTAGTGCTAGTAACAATGAGGGGAAAAAAACTAGTCTATACTGATCTACAGGAAAAAGTCATTTGTGCATTAGATGTAACATAATTTTGTTTCACAATGAACATTGCATGTTCTAAAATTGAAATATCTGGATGGGATTGAATCAGAGGTGGTATTCAGCAGGTTCTGACCAGTTCTGGAGAACCAGTAGCGGAAATTTTGAGTAGTTTGGAGAACCGGTAAATACCACCTCTTGCTGGCCCCGCTCCCATCTGGCTCTGCCTCCTGAGTCACAGCTGACTGAGAGGAAATGGAGTAACCTTCCCCTGGAGTGGGGAGGGAATGGAGATTTTACAGTATCCTTCCCCTGCCATGCCCACCAAGCCACACCCACAGAACCGGTAGTAAAAAAAAATGAATCCCACCACTGGATTTAATCCTTCACTATATATCAAAACAACCAAAATCAAGTTTTAATTCAGTTTGAAATAGATATATAGTATTAAAAGGAAAGTCAGCAACATAGCAAGTTACTTCATTTATTGCAAATATTACCTATTTCTCTGTAGAATCACAATCTTGAACTCACGCAGAATTGTTTCTTGTAATACCATATACATTTCAAATACTGTGGAGAAAAAACACAGGGCTATGTAATCAGAATGAAAAAATAGAAAAATCCCACAAAATAAGGAATATGCTATAGGGAAAAGATCATACTTTTCTTTAATACACATTAATCTGTAAATTTAGATGCTCCCTTCAGTGAAATACATATATTTTTAAAAAGTGATGTATAAATGTTTTACCAACTACAGATGCATTTGAGATACTCAAAATAGTTCAAATGAAGAAGTAAAACAGTATAATTAGATAGCAGTGACGTGCGGTGAAGTTTATGGCTGGTGAGGCAGCAATTTTTTTAGACTTGTAGACTTCAACTCCCAAAATTCCACAGCCAGGCATGCTAAGTTCCAATTTAAAGCAACAGCATTTGTTTTTCTCCTTTGCTAAATAAGTTTCCTTCTTTCTTTTTCTTTTTCTTCTCCCTTCCCCTCCTTCCTCCCTCTCTCCCTCCCTCCCCCTACCGCCTCCTTTAGAGGGCACTTTTTTAGAGGCTTTTTTAAACAGTTAAGCATTAAGCAGAGTCATCCATGGTGACTCTGGCAGCAACTAGCTCAGCCTGACCTCAGCAGCTCTTGCCTTTTTCCTTTTACATTTTCTTTTCTTTTCATGATGACAGTGGTGAGGCTCTGCCTCCCCTGCGTCCCCTGACTGCACGTCCCTG